ACTTCACAGCAACTTGGATGAATTTAGAGTCTATAATACTCAGTGACCTATCACAGAAACAAAGAACTGAGTACTGCATGTTCTCACTCATAAGTGGACCCTGAGCAATTATCATAATACTATAAGAAAGGATTGGCAGTAGTTGGGAAACTGCCAGGGGTGGAGTTGGGGCTCGCTTTATCAATAAGGGTACTTGATCTCAAACCAGGTGAAGTGGGGTCCAGAGTAAGGCCCAAACTTTACCTGTACAATGACCATTTGTATACCTAACACTGAATTGTACACCACATCTTTAAAATTAAAAAAAGAGAGAGAGAAAAAGTATATTTTGTCCTAAAAGCACTAATAAAATTGAATGCAACATGTCCATAGTTTTATATATAGTATTTATATTATTGTCTAAAGAAAAATAGATAGAACTGATAAGTTATAGTGTGATTTTTAAAATTGATCCATTTTGAAAATTAATATAAAATTGATTATTTCAAACAAGAATGTAGCTATATAGTGTTTTAACAATGTCTGCTATTAAACTTACTATATTTTTTCTTTATAGGTTTTTGATGAAGTTGTGAAGATTTTTGACCAGGAAGGCTAATTCTAAGCCTGAAAACATCTTTGAAATCATGCTTGAATATTGCTTTGATAGCTGCTATCACAACCCCTTTTGAAGGCAATTTGAATCTTTCATAACAACATCTCAATTAATAGCTAGAAAGTATATAGTAAGACAAATTAAATTTTTTATTTTTTGTTACAGGAATAGACAGTAGAGTCCAGTTAACTTCATCTTAGTTATGGTGCTCACAAAACAAAGAAGGGTATAAGCTAGTTTTTTGTTTTTATTCAAAAAGAATATCTCTTTCATAGTTTGTGCCTTCTGTGAGCAACACTTTTTATTATGCGTGTATATCCCTTTAGTGATTACACCATGTTGGGATTTAGGGATACCTACTTCCCCTTTGTCCTGCAGGTTTTAAATTTCCAACCTAAAGTGAATTTGTGGACCAAATTCCAAAGGAACTTTTTGTGTATCAATTCTTACATAATGTGTTTGGTAAACAAACTGATAAAATAGATTCCTAACTGTTTTAGTATTTATCAAATAACTGACCATTTCCTATAGAAATAAAATTTAGGCTTTGTTTTACTACAACTTATACAAAGTTGTATGACAGGGCATATTCTTTGCTTCCAAGGTTTGCGTTGGAGGCACTCGGGGTTCAGAGCCTGGCAGAACTGTCAGCTTTATTCTGACGTAATATGATGGTATGGGGCAAGGATCACATCTAATGCTGTGTTCCTTATACTTTCTTATATAGTGTTATTCATGATTCAGCTGATCTTAAAATTCCTAGCAGTGGAACTTTGAAATGCACGTGGCTAGGTTTATGCTAAAATTAGTCAGTCAACATTTTAGTAACACCTCAAAGTTTTTGTTTGTTTTCTAGACTAAATATAGGGCTAGGATAAATTAGAAGCAGCAATCTAATGGTTAAGTTTTCCACTTGTGTTTTATTTTCTTGAATACTTTTTTCATAGTTATTTGTTTAAGAAGATTTGAAAATTATTGCACTTTGATCAGAAAAATAATAAATATATCTTATAAATGTTTGATTCCCTTTATTTTTTGGCATCATGTTGAAGCATTGAAAGATGCAGAATTTTAAAAAGGCTATACAGTCCAAATGAATATTCTTTTACATTCATTCTTCCTTTAAAAATCTCTGAGAAATTTCTCCTTTCTTTTTTTCCCTTTATCACTAATGCTAAGTGGTATCCAAGGTTCTTAATAAGAGATTTCTTAAAATGTTTCTCATTTTCAGCACTCACATCATTTGGTACACAGGGTTAAATAGGACAAGAAATTTTGTCTTTGTACATAGGTTTGATATGTAAAGTCATTGGGAGCATTGGGAATAGTCATAGGACAAGTTAATGGATTTTTTATATTGTAATAGAATCATCTATTTCTGTTATGAAAGTCATTTGTTAATGATAAATTTTCAACATACTTGCCATTCAAAAATAAAATATTGCTAAGTACTGTAACATATTGGCCACCAAAATTTGTATTGAGATTACCTTGTTTTCTTGGAAAAGATTGTTCTGAGTCCTTACCTAGTGTTTCAGTCCAGCCAATACAGAGGTGGTTTAATCTAACAGTTCTAGTATGAAACAAGAGTAAAGACTAAGGTTTTAAGAGCATTCCTACCAAAAGGCTGCGAAGCGATGGGCATTCCTACTAACATAAGTGAAGAAATCTGCTAGATGAGACTAAATATAGTGATATTGTGAAAGTAACCTTAAAGTTTGGAAGAAGACTGTTGAGACTAGGTGCTTTGCTTCCTATTATCAGATACCGTTCTGTGACATTTAAGAACAGAAACTAAGAAACATAGTAATTACTAAATTATGAGACTTTGCTTTTTGTTTGCTTTTAATTAGAAAAACGTGTTGGCTGTTTTGAGTTTTGGAATTGATTGAGATACATCTGACTTCACTAGTTTGGTCATTCCATTTGTTAAAGATACAGTCACCAAAAAGTTTTTGTGTTTTTTGAAAGACCATAATTTAAGCCTTGCTAATTTTAAAAAAACAACATTATTTCTATTTGGTGATGTTGCGTGTATATGAATTATTTAGTAAATAACCTTAATAAAGTTTATGCTGTGGCCTTTGCTATTTGCTGGATTTCTGTTCTCTTAAGTATATTGAAGATCAAGAAGTATCATGTTTAACATGTGGGTCCTCACATGTCACAAGCAGAGTTCAGGATCCAGGAGAACTTTCTGCTCTGTGGTTTGTGCATCTTCACTTCAGCAGAAAGCATGACTTCAACCTATGCATTCACGAAGTAATCTGAAACACAGCCAGCCTATTTCATTACCTACCAGCAGCATCAGACACCTGTCTTTGCCAGAAGGGGCATTGACAGTAGGCAAGGGATGTCTGGATGCAGGTTTTTGGTGGACTTATGGCTCTGCCTTTGTAATTTAAGTGGTTGCCAGACATTCCAGTAGTGCCTGGAGATAATAGTGGCTGGAAGTTTCAGCATGGTCAGCATCTTTCCCCTGGAGTTTAGGCTTTCATCTCCAAACATGTAGCACAAGTATTGGTTCTACAAACATTTTCTGCCTTCCAGAGGTTTTCTGCCAAAAGCACTCTGATATGGATAAACCTCCGAAGGTATTGATTAACTTTTTTTTTTTTTTTGAGTTGGAGTCTCACTCTGTCGCCCAGACTGGAGTGCATTGGCCGCTCCCGGCCACTGCAGCCTCGATCTGCTAGGCTCAGGCGATCCTTCCACCTCAGCCTTCCAAGTAGCTGGAACTACAGGCGTGTGCTACCATGCCCAGCTAATTTTTGATTTATTGTAGAGATGCGGTCTTGCCAAGTTGCCCTGGCGGGTCTCGAACCCGCGGGCTCAGGCAATTCACTCACCTTGGCTTCCCAAAGCGTGGGATAACAGGCTGAGCCACCGAGCCCACCTGTATTGATTAACTTTAATCATTCTTATTCTATTTACATTCTTCCTAGCCCACATGCATATTTCAGCTACATTAAGTACTCTAAGCTTTTTTTTTTTTTTTTTAACTAAAGGAAGCTTGTTTATTGTGTATCAAAGAGAAAGGAAAACAATGGTCCTAACCTTATTCCTTTACTTCCTCTTCCCTGGGACCAATGTGAGTACTCTCTTGGATCCAGGTGTGCTTTTCTTTGGCTGGGTGTAATTACTGTGATTGTGATGTTAATCATGGACCTCAGTTAAGCCCTGAATGTCACCGTCTTTCCTGTTTGGGCAAGAGCTGAAGGACAAAATTGATTAAAACTTGATGTCAACCTTACCATCTCCAAGCTATCACTCAGCCTCAGACCTTTATGGGAGTTCATCAGAACAAACCTGCTTCAGAAAGGCTTTTCTTTCATGGCTTGTCCTTCTAAGACAAAGAGGGGAAGAGCAGGTTTAGTTGTTTTGTCTTTTTTTTTTTTTTGAGTTGGAGTTCCACTCCTGATGCCCAGGCTGGAGTGCAGTGGCAAGCTCCCAGCCATCGCAGCCTCTACTACTGGTCTCCGGCTATCCTTCTGCCTCAACCTTCCAAGTAGCTGGAATTACAGGCGAGCGCTACCATACCTGGCTAATTTTTGATTTGTTGTAGAGATGGAGTCGAACCAAGTTGCTCAGGCAGGTCTCTAACCCGTGGGCTCAGGCAGTCCACTCACCTTGGCCTCCCAAAGTGCTGAGATTACACACTGAGCCACTGAGCCCGGCCTGTTTTGTCTTAATTAGGGAGACAAGGATAATAAATCAGAACATTTCTCTAGGTGAGTTTCTTTTAGCCATAGAAGATTATTTTGTATTTATGATATATTTTGAAGTAACTATATGCAACTTCTGAACATTGGCCTTTGACATCATACCCAACCAGAGTAAAAGCATCTGCAGAAATGGGTTACCAGGTACAACAACCTGGTGCTAATGTTAGATAAGCAAAGACACACTTTAAAGAATTGTCTTCTACACAGTGGAATCAAGCAGTTAAGCAGCATACTGTAACAGCCTGACCGGATTCTTTTGCCTGCTGCACAGAAAAGCCAATACAGTGACAGCAGTCGTTGCCATAGAGGAGTTTAATGATTGCAAAGCAGCTGAGTGAGGACAGGAGCTATTTCTCAAATCTGTCTCTCCAAGAATTTTAGGCTAGATATTTTAAGGAGTAATTTGGCAGTTGGGAGAACTAGGAATGGGAGCTACTGATTGGTTGGGGATGAAGTCACGGGGCGTCAAAACTCTTCGAATACAGAGCCAGTTTCTGCGGGAATCACAGGACCCATGGAATCAGCTTCTTGGTGTATATCCTGGGTCTGGGTGGGCTCAAGGGTCCATTAGAATGCAGAGCCTGAAAAACATCTTAAATATCGTTTTTAGCTTTTACAATAGAGAGGCTATCTATAAAGCAAGTTCAGTGACCAGTAAGCCATCATAGAGAGAAGATTTGCAGCGAGGTGGGTTCCCAGAGATTATAACTGCCTGTGCATTTCAGCTGATCAAACTTCAGGATGCCATCAAGGAGAGCTGTATGACCTTAGGCTCATTGTTTAAGGAACAATATGTTTATCAGCTTCATGTCCAAGGATCAGGACATGAAGAAAATCAATTACTCTCCATTGAAGTAGAAACAAATTTAGAAATAACAGACCTGTTAATTTCTAACCATAGCTGCACTGTTTTTCCCCAGTCTTTATCATTTCTTCTAGGAGATAACTGAAATTTTGCAGGGCTCTGGTCTCTTCCACAGTTTTTGTTTGTGTGTTTGTTTGTTTTTTTGAGTTGGAGTCTCACTCTGTTACCCAGACTGGAGTGCAGTGGCCGCTCCCAGCCACTGCAGTCTCGACCTGCTGGGCTACGGCGATCCTTCCGCCTCAGCCTTCCAAGTAGCTGGAACTACAGGCGAGCGCTACCACGCCCGGCTAATTTTTGATTTACTGTAGAGATGAGGTCTCACCAAGTTGCCCAGGTGGGTCACGAACCCG